GAAAGTCATGCCTGTCATTAACAAAGCCCTCTTCCCAGTGCCAAGAGAATAATCACCAGTGAATTCATGAGGCGAAACCTCTTAGGCACAGTGGGAAAATTAAAACCTTGTTAAGAAGTTCAATGTGTGACAATCTGGACAGTGCTCAAATACACAAAGGACAGAGCTGTGGAATGATTCAGTTTTTAGGAAATCTGCCACTGGGGAAAAACAATGCCAAAGATTAAGTTAATTCGAGAGAAAGAACAGATAAATTACACTAAATACAGCCCCCAATTCATGTACCAAATCATCTTTCACCCCTTCCAGCACAAGGTAGATGACCAACGGATAGATGAAGGAATCAGGGGGAAGAGTCTGGAAACTTCTCTAATCATTACTACACTAAGAATTTTTCTTTTCTTTTCCCTCCCTCCTTCACTTCCTTCCTTTCCTGTCTTCCTCATTTCAGTGTTGAGGACTCAACCCAGATCCTTGGACATGCTCAGCAAGCCCTCAGCCACCCATCTGTATCTTCAGCCTGCAACAAGAACCTCTGCACACTTCTGATTCTTCAGGTGCATTTTCAATTTTATCAGCACTCCAGGGCTTGTCTATGTAGCTTGATGAGTACTTTAAAGTCCTTGTTTTTGCCTATTTTCACTTTTCCTACCAACTTAGATCTGAGCAACTTATTTTAGTGGAAATGCACAAAGAAGTAGGATTTGACCGTCGGTACTGAATGCCATGTTATGTTAATACACCTTGCACAGCAGGTTTGGATACATGCTGATTAACTTTTTAATTTGTAAGAGTTGGCCAGGCTGCAGAAGTAGGTGTCACCACCGTGTTTTATGGTAATTAGCAGCCGTCCTATCTTCAGTTTCTCCATCTGCAAAATACTAGAATCAATTTATGAGGCTCAGAGTCACTTTAACTTTAAACTTTTCATTTTCATTTTGCACTGTGGCACATATGAAATAATTTGATCACTGAGGGATTTCTTTTCCATCACAAATGTAAATTTCTACGATGATTAAGTTAAATAATAGCTATGCTTAAAAATAATTAAAAGTAACTATAATTTTGGAAGATGGTGAAAGAACGTTAAATTTAAAAGTAGGTGTAAAATAATGAGACAAAGAAAATTTAGAGGGCAAAAAGAAAGCAAAGCACCTCAAAGTTTGCATTAGAATTCTTTGAAAAAATGTGTACACTATAGAAATTCTGCTTAATATTAGATCTTTTTAATGAATATTTTGCATTCTAGAGTTTTTTGGTTTAGTTTTATAGAATCTTGCAAAAAAAACTAAAAGCCCTTAAAATTATAACTGTTTTCACCAAGATAGTGAATAAAATCCAATTGAGTATCAGCAGTTGAAACTAGAACACAGTGTTACTAGCTGTTGAAGTGTCACATTTCACAAACAAAAAAAGATAATAGCTTCAAAAACTACAATGACATCATTTTAGGACACTAAGCATCAACATTTCTAAGTAGTTGGTAAATGTTGGTTTTAAAGTTATATGAAGGAAATGATTATTGAAGACCTCAGCTACCAATTTTGATACATTTGTTATTGTTCCCTAACTGCTTAATAGAAAATCAAAGTTTCCACATTTTAAATGAATTTATTTAGCCATGTAAGATTTCATGTTTACTCTCAAGAGTCAATCAAAAACCTATTCCCTGTCAAGTAATTTTAGGTTGTTCTCTTGATCCTTGTATGATGGCAGATGCCCACTCCCTGCCTTCAGGCAATGCATTAAGTTGTTCCCTGTGACTTTTGCTTAGACTCCAAGTCTGCCCTGAGTATACTCTGCCCCAATAGATTCCAGGAGAGTAGACTTCTCTTTTGTTTAATCATTCTGCAATAGTAGAAGCATTCTAAATGATAGGTTATTGTGGAACTTCTGATCTAATGACTGTATTGTAGATTTTTCATTTTAAAATAAAAACTGATTTTAAATTCTTCAGACACTGCAATCAGGTTACTATTTTCATACAATTATGGAAATTTAAAATGCAAAGTTAATTGAAAGTATAAAGATGAAAAGCAAGTGCTATGCTTAAAATAGAGTACGACAGTCATGTTTCACTTAACTCTCAAGGCAGAACATAAATTAAGAATTCTAGATGTGACATGCCAAATATTTTAGACACGGAAGAATGCATACAACAGAATTGGTACTGATTACAAACTTAAACGCACGACTTATAAGGCAACAATTTCATGCTCAAATGTCAACAACAAATAGTGTTTATCATACTTCAAGATGTGATAATGTGTATAAATCCCATCACTTCTGCATACAGTACTAAAATTCATAATAGCATTCCTAAGCTCTATGCTATACCCAGAACCAAAATATCCATAAGGAGCAAAACAATGATGTCACTGTGCACCTAGCCTAAGAAGGTATTTTTGCTCATAACAATATTTAAAAGAAACAAGTATTACATGACATTCCATTAAAAACACATAGTATAAAATTGAGCTGCATAGGTATGTACAGTAAATCTGCCTTATTCGCTAATTGTTACTCTATTTTTATAAGTGAGCAGTTTCTATGTATAATTGTGTTGAGAGTTAAGGAAAAACTATGGTTTCTGTTGTTTCCCCTTACACTTTTGTTGCTCTGTCCCTTAAGAGTATTCACGTAGGAATTACAGTTCAACAGCAGAAGAACAATCAGAATGTCTCAAAACATACCAATGTGCAGATTTCTCCACAGTGAAATCTGAATCAATAAGATACAAGTTACATTTGTATACTCTCAAATAAATTGTAAAACACAATGACAAAAATAAAGATGCTAAAACACCCTCTCTTTAAAAATCTAGTAAGTATATTCACAAAACGGTGGTAAATAGAACAGGATATATTAGGGTTTTTTATTGAAGATTTGAATACAGTCTTCTAAGTAAATAATTTCATTTCCTTCATGCAGAAACTCTGTGAAATAAGGGAATAAACACAAGCCAGATCACCCCTTCACACAGTGCTTCTTAACATCCATTCACATAGGCGCACCTTTCGATACTGATAATATAATTAGACTGCAATATCTAAATAAAGATCCTTCCTAAATGTGCTGCAAATTGCAAGTGATTTTGAGACCTATTCCAGAAAGCATTGTCACCCAGAACTCAAGACATTCCACTGCATATTTTATCTGTCAATTTACTTTCTTCCCTCATACTCATATGCCTTTTCCCACTCCCAAATTAGACTTTAAAATCCCTGAGGGCAGGACCTATCTATCTTTTTATTCCCTCTTGTACCCAATATTGTGGCAAGTGAGTTATGGGGTGCTCTGTGCTTATAAATGGATGAATGTATGACTGAGACTGGAAATAGAGGCAAGCTCCATAGTCATCAAGGCATTCTGTTTCTCTTATCTCAACCTAGTCAAATGAAATGGATCTGGTAGCATATTACCACAGTGAAATATACACATCAAGTTGTATTCTTGTGGAAAACTTCAGTGAACCCTTCAGAACATTACTCCCTGTGTTATATTTGGCAGAACACCTAAAGGCTGGACAGTAAAAGTGCACTGTACCTATAATGAAAGGTTCGCACTATACTTGATCAAATATTTGGCTTCAAAAATATCCACAAAATGTGTTTTTACTGCCAGAACCATCAAAGAACAGGATGCGCTAGAGTGTGGCATCCCTCTTCAAGATACTGTCAGTGAACATGTCGAAGCAGCGAGTGTTCTGGGGAATGGAGTTTGGGAGCACTGAAGGAGATCATGTTAAATCACCTTCACTACAGCAGTGTAGTACATTTGTATGAAATACCTGGTGTTCTGTTAAATATTTCATACATTGGAAAAGGAGAATAGGGGCAGAGCCTCCAAACTCTCCGTGTACAGTTCCTCTTAAAAAGCCAGGAATGTCTTCTCATAACAAGCATGGTCCTCTCTGTGTGAGTCTGTGGTTAAACTCTTCTAGAGAGTTCTCTTAACTTCTCTCAATATCTTTCCTTGTTTACCTTCCTGTCATTTCCTTTCTAAATGTGTACTCACAGAGTAATTATGTCTTAAAACATACATCTCTAGACAATGTATTTTTATAATTGGTCAGTCTTTGGCAACGTTCAGAAAACATTTTTCTCATCAATGAATGGGATAACAATGACAATTTTATGAGGAAATGCTAGTGGATTGGTTCTGAGATTTTAGCAGGTCCATTATGCTCTCACAAAATATTCAATACAGTCTCTATATGACTAAATTAAAAATACCAGAAGTGAAGATACCCCTACTTAGGAAGAAAAGCACTATGGGAACGTAGTGGGTCAGCTAACTTCACAGTGTTCATTGTCACAAGTTTTACCATCTCTGGCATGAACTCTATGACTCTGGAACATTTCACAGTGTTCAAGACATCAGAGACTTCTTTTATACATCAGAACCAATGGCTCTGGTGGCTTTGTAACTACTTGGGGACCGCCGTAGTGATAAAGAGAATGTCAAGGAGAGAGGAGAGAGCGAGCATGGAGAACATGATCTCACTCTCAGACCTGCTGATGATCTATCTCCACTGTTTCAAGCTTAAGACACTAAAATTCTGAGCAAAAGTTACTTTTCAAGGGTCCAGATAATTTCAAAAGGTCTAGTTCCCTATAATATGCTCTAGTTCACATTTTTAGTATGTTTTCATCTCATTTGTATGTGCTCTTGGTTCAAGTAAACAAAAATTTGATTGTTTTTTACAATTTTATGTAACTTATTTTACATTCATAACATCTTCCTCCTTAAATAAAAAGAATGAGTTGTGTCACCTTTAAAAATAAAATTAATGACAACATGGAGATTGGAAAAGTCAAGACCTGCCCATGCTTAACGTTAAAGTTATCTTTTCATGCTGCCTTTGGGACACTTAAACACTGTAGTGAATCATCATTGAGGTAGAACTAAAACAAAACACAGCAAAAAGAAGCAATAACATTTACACAAAGCAGGAGACACAAAAGGAAGCTGGGAGAAGTTCTTTTTGCCTGTTGGTGTTAGGCTTTGCAGTCTTCCTTGACACACAGTTGAGAAATGGTCTTTTTCACTCGCAGGGCTGTCAGGCGGGCTGCTCCATTGGCATACCAGCACTCCCGCATGATTCTTCCCATGACCCGGAGTGCCTTTGGGAGAGAAAGACACCAAAGGGTTAAAGGTGCACCAGCCAAGTATAAAAGAACTGAAATCAAAAATCAGGGGGTGATTGAGGAACCTGAGCCAAATTTCTGCAAACTCTTTTTAAAAGGCACAAACATTGACCTTGTAAAGACTAGCTTAAATGAAATCATTGATTCTGAAACACCATGGTGGCTATTTTCCAACTCCTCTAAGAAGGGCAATGATAACTAAGTGCTGTGGTACAAGCTCATGCATGGCCCCAGTATTTGTCAGTCAGTTAGAGGAAGCAGCAGAAGGAATTCAAGGCCAGGCCAGCTAGATGAGAACCTGTCTCAAACAAAACAGCTATAAAGCAACATGAGCCATCATGGAAGGGTTTGGCAATGTTGTGAATTCCCAGTTACACTTTATCAGATGTGCACATGAAAAGAGTCATCAAACTGAAAACTAAGATTTACAATTTTACCGTTCATAATTGCATGTTGCAAATGATGAACTGTGAATAAATATAAAAAGTCAGTATGAATGAACTGTCCAAGAAAGAATGCAGACACTGTGGTGGTAGAGCCCTCATAGACCCATGTGTTTGAGGGTTTGGCCTGTAGTGAGTGGCACTGTTAAGAGGTGTGGTCTTGCTGGAGTAGGTGTTGCCTTGTTGGTGGAAGTATGCTGCTGTGGGGGTGGGTTTTGTGGTCTCACATATGCTCAAGTTAAGTCCAGTGAGAGACAGTTCACTTCCTGTTGCCTGCAGATCAAGATGTGGAACTCTCAGCTCCTTCTCCAGCACCATGTCTGCCTGCACATTGTCATGTCCCGCCTTGGCTATGATGACAACGGACCGAACCTCTGAAACTGTAAGACAGCCCCAACTAAATGTTTTCCTTTATACGAATTTCTCTGGTCATGGTATCTCTTCACAGTAATAGAAACCCTAACTAAGGCAGTACTTAGAGGAACAATCGACGTGAAAGCATGAAACATGAGAGACCTAGGGAGTCACTGCAGCTGGGGGAGCTCCAGTGGCATATGCTCATCTTCTGTTCTAGAAAATCAGAAATGAGGACCTCATTGAAAACAGGAAAGCAAAGAAAACATTTAAACGCCCCCCCTCCAAAAAAGGTCCTAAATGTAAACATGAATCCTGAACTGTCAAGATGGTAAAGACACTTGCAACCGAGCCTGGAAACCTGACTTTGATCTTCGGACCCACATGGTACAAAGAGAAAATTGTCTCCTGCAAGTTGTTCTTTGGCCTCTGTTGAGTGCATGGCCCTGGTACATGCATGCATTCCGACTTACATATAAGAAAATAAAAATAATAAAAATTAAGGTATGTAGATCAATCTTCCTCCAAGAGGAAGTTTGTAAGGAAAACCACTTACTTTGACTTTGGATGAAGAAAAAAAAATCTGCCCATGTCTTTTAGTAAACCTGAACTCATAATGAAATTCCTCACCCAGAGAAGGGGAAGGACACCAATAAGCAAGAATTAATCAAAACAATAACCAGCAGAATCAGACCCATAAAACATATGTTATTAAAATTCAACGATAAGAAACGTGCATTAAAAGAGAAATAAAACTTGAACAGCCTGGGGGAGGGGAGGCACCACACTTTCAGAAACAGTAAAAGTTCTTGGTATGAAAATAAAGAATCCACTGGATGAGTTAAATGGCAGATTAGACACATCTGAGGCAGAAGTAAAGAAGTGGAAAAGAAATCTAAGGGATTAAGAATACAGGTGCCAACATGGGAAATACCTGTGAAGCAAAGTAGAATCTGAAAGGTTTAATAGCAGCCAATGAGCTTTCCAAAAATAGAAATGGAGACAATGAGAGAAAAATTATCTGAAGACATATTATTGCAGGATTTTCTAGAACAGAGGAATGTCTCAAATCCTTTGAATGAGAACAGTTTTTGTCCCAAACAAGCTAACTGAAACGCTGTTTGGTGGTACACGCTGTGATACTAGCATTGAGAGGCTGAGGCAGGAGCATTCCTACAAGTTTGGGCTACATAGTGAGAGCTCCCTTCGAAAGACCTACAGTACCTACAAACAAAAAGGTTGCCCATGAGACATAGAGAAACTGCAGAGTAGTAAAGAGAGAAGTTCTTAAAAGCAGTTAGAGGGGCTGGAGAGAAGGTGCAGCTACTAAGTGTACTTGTTTCTATTGCACAGCACCTGGGTTTAATTCCAAACACCCACGTGGTGACTCACAGCCATCCATGACTACTACAGCTCCAGGAATCCAAAGCTCTCTTTTGACTTCTCTGACCACCAGCCATGCACATGCTGTGCATACATACATGTAGACCAAATATCCATTGACATAAAAATAAAACAAATTTCAAATAGAAAGAAAGGCATTCAAGAGGCAAACCTTTATTCATATCAAAGCCCATTTTTATTTAACCTGAAAAAGAGTATGTAGCAGTTGGCATATTCAAGAGTGAAAAGAAAAAGTTTTAAGGAGCATAAGTATTGCTCACCACCAACCACCTCCAAGTAACATTGTATCAGAGATCCCAGAACCACAGTAAGAAAAAAGGAGCAGAGAGTTTCGCCTAAGTGGATACCTCAAAAGAATAAAGAGCTGCATGTCTTCCAAGCTTTTGAACATACATGTTTATATACCATGATGAATAACTCTCTTTTTAGATTTTTTAAGTGTGTGTGTGCGTGTGTGCGTGTGTGTGTGTGTGTGTGTGTGTGTGTGTGTGTGTGTGTGTGTGTGTGTGTGTGTGTGTGTGCGCCCGGGCGGG